GAACCGCACAGCATCCAGCTGGTGGTGTCTCTCCCATTAGGACTCCAGGTACTTGCAGGCCTGTCATCTCCCTACTGTGAACGACAGCACAGATTTCCTAGGCTGCTCATGTGAAGCTACTGCTCAATGCGAAGGCGCCCTGGTGGTTCGGTGGTTAAGTGCTCAACCACTAACACTACGGTCAGTGGTTTAACCCCACTTAGTGGCTCTGAGACAGAAAGGCCTGCCGATCTGCTCCCACAGAGGGAGACTACAGCCTAGGAAACCCTGTGGGGCAGTTCTCTCACAAAAGTAGTTCTTGACAACATCCAACAACAAAAGCAATACACCTTATCTCACCAAATTAGGGCTTGGCTTTCTTAGTATTAAACCTTTTGAAAACAAGATTCCCACGTGTTTGTGTGCACAAGCACTTAGTAAGTACTCAAAACTCTAAAACCAAACTCACTGCCATCAAGTCAATGCCAACTCACAGTAGCTCGACAGGACAGGGCACAACTGCCCCTGTGAGTTTCTGAGATAGTAACTCTTTATGGGAGTAGAAAATCCAGTCGTTCCCTGGTGGTCTCAAACAGCTGACCGTATGGATCACAGCTCATAATCCACCAGGGCTCCTGAAGCACCTAGTACAGAAGCAACAAAAGTGAAGTTTTCCATGAACGTCAATGCTACTCTGCTCACTGAAGCACTCCATCCACAGGCAGCCTCAGCAGTTCTGCAGGTTCACCTTTCACAAAGGCATCTTCATCACAAGACTTACTCGTGTGACGCAGACACCCTAGTATTTAAGCTGTGAGAATGTGCTTATTGTTCATACTCCTGCCAAACAGTCGTTTGTTGTCCCCCGAGTATGCAGGAATAAGACACATTTTAAGGTTTCGACTTAATGTTACTGTACAACATGCCACTTCCAAAAAATGGCTGAGTAGTATCCTACCCCTCCACGCCTCTTCCCTGGTCCAGCCTTGAACTAGGACCTGCAGGTTCCAGAGACTAAAGAGGCAGAGGAGGGAATAATACAGGCAGAGCCCAAGATGACAGCGGGTCAGTGAAGAGTGACTGAAGAATGCTCCTGAGAAAATGAGCACTGTGTATGGTTTGAATGGGCCTGAGAGTGGGGGGCAACAGCTGAGGCTGGTTAATGATGGGGGGCCCCAGGAAAGAGAAAAGCAGAATCCCAAATTCTGTACCTAAAATCTCCCAGTCTTTTGACTCCTGAATCACAGGAGTGGGGCAAACTGCAAGCTGAGGGTAAAAAAAAACAACGAACTGTTAGCCAATAGAAATGTCCAACAGAGTAAATAACTCACTTTAAAGCAGAAATGCAGAAGAGAATTTCAAATCCTCTATAGAATCTAGACAGACTTCTGGATTCAGGGAAGCTGGATGAATCTGGAAAGCTAGGTCATCTTTAAGCCTTACACCAGACACCAATGAAGCCTATTTAAAACCAAACAAACTGTCAATTTGATCACACAGAGACCCCAACCTCAGTCGGTCACCTGGCTTGTCCAGAGAGATGTCTATTTTGTTCTTGGTTGTATTGCTTTACCGTCTTCAGTTCCTTTTCAATATAACACTCATTGTGGCTATCAAAAACAAACATTTTCTACTCCAACGACATTTCTGACTAGATGACTGCTATATACCTGAGTGATTCTTTTAGAACTACTCACATCCATGACTCAGCTACAACTGTTGTCCATCCACCTAACTTGTGAGTATTCCCAAGAAGTCCTGGTGGCTCAGTGGTAAGCATGCCCCAGCAGCACTAACCAAAAGGTCGGCAGTTAAACTCATCAACTGCTCCCTGAGAGAAACTGTAACAGATTGCTTCCTGAAAGATTAGAACCTTGGAAACCTTGGTCTGATTATGAGTCAGAACAACTTGATAGCAGTGATGGGACAGGCATTAAAGAGCAGGTGACAACAGTACCTCCCAAATAGACACTGCTTTCCAAGCTACAGCACTCTCGCCTGTTTAGCAGAAATAACCCTCCTGAGATTTACCCCATCCTCCACAGTTCCAGGGACAAGACTGAGCACACAGTAGCTTCCACCTCAGGGCAAGCCTTCCATAGCAAGACACATAGGACGGTGCTCAGGAGGTGCTCCAGCTGGCACCATCTCCCACCAAGATTGCGATCCAAGAACTTTCTCTGCTACGCATTTCACTTGATTGTGTACTGGATCCATTCCATTCCCTTTAAAGATTCCCTGTGTGTCTGTAACTTGTTTGGATACAAAGAAATGACCATCAGGTATATTACCCAGTTTGTTGTGTTATGGCCTGATAATTCCCGACAAAGAAACGTTTACTATCTCCAGCTGTTTTCTCTATTTGACTTTCTCTTCCCCCTCCCCTGAAGCTGAACTCTTTAAGCCAGAGAGCAAAACACAAAACACCTGGGGTGTGTGAGTGAGATGGGGAGATATATGGAGAGTTACTGGGTTCTGGCGACTACTCAGCCAGCAGCTGGGAAGGCCGTTACTAATCTATAACACTTGAGTTGGCTTGTCCTTTTTCAGATTACTCAGACAACTCAGTCCCCTGGGCTACTCCAAAGCTGAAGGCCCTGGTTATCCTTTGTTTACATATTGGTCCTAAGTCCCAGACCGTGGCTCTGAGTGGAATGGCTGCCTAGGGCTTCGAAGACTGTAAATCTTTGTATATGGGAGCAGACCACCTTATCTTTCTCCAGAGCAGTCGCTGATGAGTTTGAACTGCTAACCTTGTGGCAAGCAGCTCAACACTCAACTCAACCACTGCACCACCTAGGCCCCTTCAAGACACAGTGGGGCTTAGAAATGTACAATCCAGACTTGGGAACACAAGGTAAACTCTGGGGAAACAAACAAAAAACAGAAGACTTTGGATACAAATGAAAGTCATAAAGAAACCTTTATCAGCTGTCTATTACTACACACGGTTATTTCAAAACCCCCATTAAAAAACAAAAACACCACCAAACTTTAAGAAAATCAGGTGGGCAACAGAAAAGTGCGTGAAGGGAGACATCGGGACAATGTAAGACATGACAAAATAATAATAATTTATAAATTAACAAGGGTTCATGGGGTGGGGAAATGAGGAGCTGATACCAAGGGATCAAGTAGAAAGCAAATGTTTTGAGAATGATAGCTACAAATGTGCTTGACACAATGGACGGATGGATTGTGATAAGAGTTGTATGAGCCCCCAATAAAATGACTTTAAGAATATATCAAATCAAAAAAGGAAGAAAAAATGCTGTGCCATGAAACAAATCTTATCAGTAACCCTGCAAACACAATTACACTACAGAGCATTTTGAGACCCCCACAATGTGGGGGAAAACCCCATAGTATCTGCTGTTGGAGAAGATGCCATGAACTAGTCCTCTCATTCCCAGCAAACGGGAACATTGGGAAGCAATATTAAGCATAACAGCTAAAATACCACAGGCTCAGAAGCAACCGCTCTGACTCTGGAATGCCCAGACACAGACACACGCAGGTCCAAAGATTTAGGCACCTGCCCTTTCGAAGCAGCGTTTTAATTACAAAAGCCCATAAATAATCTCTTTCACCCGTCAACAGGGCACTGTGAAGTGAGGATTTGTCCACACTACAGAATCCTATGCTGGAGAGCCGAAAACTGACATGAAAAGCTGACATGAAAAGATAAGGAAGGTGTGCTGGGAACTTTAAAAACCATTAAAATTCTGCAGCACAAGTGACTTTATTGCAACAGGAGTCAAACTGCCCCACAGTTTCCCAGATTGTAACCTTGACCGACACATCATCTCGGCCCTCCAAAAGGCCGCGTTTGAACCACCAGGGTTTCTTTAAAACCAGCAAAACAGTGACGCTTGTATTTGCGTGTGACGAAGAACTGGAATTGAGGAGTCAACTCAACAGCAACTAACAGCTGCTGTGCGACTCCGAGCCGCCAGCCGTTGGGAAGTGAAAAGGCAGTCTCGGATACCCTTTGGGGGCACTTCTGTCCTGCGGGGTCCCTTTGAGTCGCAATGGAATCGGTGGCAACTGGGTTTGGCCAATCCCAGGCCCTGTGGACATAGAGGTCAACAAGCCAGAGTCCGCCTGCTCCACAGGGGCAGCGTGACCCTTGTAGGTTTCGTTCACGGTCCAGTCTCCAAAACCAGAACCCTTCCAGAGCACGGTGTAAGCACGACAAAGCTGGCCAAATTAATGAATGCCACGGTTGGGGAGGGGAGGAATGAAATCACAATTAAAGGGACTTTAACGCCCACCCAGAGGCATCTCGGGAGGCAAGGCCTGGCGATCTGCTTCCAAAAGGTGCCTTGGAGCACACCTGCAGGGCGCACGTGGGGTCGCCGCGTGTGGAAATCCACGGACAGCGGTGTGGCCAGCGCACACGCGTCCCCGCTCGCTCGCCCGCCCGCGGTGACCAGGCCGCGGTGTCCGGCGCCGCCTGGACGGAGTCTGGGAGCGGGGCGAGCTCCTCCTTGGGGAGCTGGGGGCGCTGGCTTGGGGAAAGGGGAGCCGCAGAGCCAGGGCCGGACAAGCAGGAGGCGCCCAGGTGCTGACCGCTCACCTCACCTCAGCGCCCGCGCTGCGCACCCCTCCTGGACTCCGCTCGCCCGGCCTGCCGCCCCCCGCACTTTGCCCCCCGCGCCGTCCCTCACCTCCCCCGGTGGACGCCCGCAGGGGCGCCGGCAGCGGAGCCCGGAGACGGCGGGCCCACAGCAGCAGCGCCCGCACCTCACGCGCCATGGCCGTCCTCTCCGAGAAAAGCGCGCGCAGCCTCACGCGAAGGGGCGGGGCTTCAGGGGCGGGCCTTCCTCCGGCGCGGCGCCGTGACGTCACGCCGCGCGCCGGGCTGGCCGGCCCGCCGCCTGCGCGAGTGGAGGCCGATTTCTCGCGGGGCCATCACGGCACCTCTGTGACCTTGTGTCGCGTTGTCAAGGGCGACGGGCCCTGCTTTCAGGGCTGGGGAAACAAGACCGAGTGCCCCAAGGCCACGCGCGCCCGCTGGGCCTCAGTTTCTCTCTTCCTAGAGCGAGGCAGGAAGTCGTGTCCTGGGACGGACAGCTTTGGACATCATAAACCTTGGGCGCCGCTCAGCTGCAAGTCGGAAAGGCGGAGTTCCATGCTTGTCCTGTCCAGAATGTGAACTCGGGAACCTCCTCGCCAGCACACCTGGGCGTCTTCGTTAATTCCAGCCCTCAGGCCCACAGATTCCTGCCTGCTGAGCTTCGAGCCCGGTTGTGCCCCTCCGGCTCTCACACGTGGTTCAAGCTAACATAGAAACCAAATCCACTGCCATCGAGTTGACTCCGACACACCGCGACACTTTATGACAAAGGAGATCTGCCCTTGTTGGTTTCTGAGGCTGTAAAACTTTCTGGGGACCCCATCTTTCTCCCCGTAGTGGTTTGTGAGTTGGAACAGCTGGTCCTGTGCTTAGCAGTTCGGTGAATAGTGCATTATTGCACCAGGGCTCCTGGTCCAAGCCTTGACCCCCGTCTCCCCACCCTGGGCAAACTTGCCCCGACACACGAGCTGAGGCACGTAAATTTGACACCCACCGACTCAGTCAAGGCAGTACAAAAAGGGGGTTGGGTTTATATCAGGTGCTGCAAAAAGTTACCCTCAAGGGTTCCCAACCTGGGGGAGTCATAATTTTTCCACACAGGTGTTAAAAATGACCCCAAGTTCCTGGCTTAACAACCGACAAGGGGAATGTTGTCTCAGGTGGCAGATTTGAATGGCAGAAGTCTCTCACCAGTAACTGCCTACTTGAGGCCCTGCTTCTGTTATGAATGGGTGAGATCAGCCACACCACTTTATTAATAATTAAAGCCTTTCTTTAACAGCTGGACCGAGAGTAGGCTAGCACCTGGAAACATTGATTCACAACAAAAATATTCCAAACGTTATAGTTCAAAATAGGCTCCAGGGGAATACTCTAGCTGTTACATTCTTATCAGGTTGGCAGGGTAATGGGGTTGGGGTGAACAGCACAGCTGCAGGTGCTAATTCATGGTCTTACAAGATAGCGTACAGTTCTTGTGAGTTGGGCAGGCAGGGTTTGGGGACATCTCCGAAGAGTCAAGGTCTTCTTGGGAGATCCGGAAGAGGGGTTAAAGGCAGTTTGAAACGAGATGGAGTCCCTCATGTTAAGCGAGGTGACTACACTTCGTCATCCCACGATATGAGAGTCCCTCACTAGTTTTCTCATCACACCGTGGGCCTAAAGGCCCTGCATACTCCTTCCTGTGTTCCTTCAGGTGGCTTTCTCTGTCTTGCTCCCCTGCCCCCACCCCCACCCCACTGTTCTCCTGCACCACAGAGCCTGGCCCTAGTATTACCAAGATGTCCCCAAAGTCATGCATGATGAGGAGGACTCATTAGGAAATCATGTCTTTTACAAGAGTTGGCACATTGGTCTGTGGGGCAATATATTTGCTTATCCGTGGCCATCGAGTCCGTTCCTATTCAAGAAGCGGAAGTGTTATCCGGCAAAGGGTAGAGGGAATCCTGGGCTTCGATTAACTTTGGTGGCAACAGGGGAACAGGGCAGAGGGGGAAGGCAGCGACGCTGACAAGACCCAGGCTCTGGAGAGGGCAGGAGCCTAAGAACCGCCTTAAGTTCCAGACGAGGGGTTCTGTCCTCCATCCGTGGCCTGTGGTCTTCAGAGAGATATCCTTGGCCACAGATCCTCATGGCTCAGCGTCCAAGGCTAGCCCAGGACACTAAGGATTCTTAGGATATCTGGCATTCAAGGGTTTGCCTTGATGGGTCTAAGGGCAGATCAGTAAAATGGAAAGAGGAAAATCATTAGTGGCAGAAGTGCTTGAGTTCAATCACTGGAGACTGGTTTGGTGATGAGGAACCCTGGTGGCATCATACTTAAGCGATGGGCTGCTAACCATAAGGTTATCAGTTTCGCTAACCATAAGGTTATCAGTTTGAAACCACCAGCCACTCCTCAAGAGAAAGAGGGAGCTTTCTATTCTGGAGAAAACTTCGTCTCAGGAACCTCCAGGGGCAGTTCTACTCTGCCCTATAGAGTCAGAATCGACTCCATAGGAGTGCATGTGGAGTTGTTTGGTGGGGTGATTGTGGAAGGCAAAGGGCAGACCACCACTCCCCAAGATATTGCTCCCCCACAACCCGCGGGAGTGGCCTGAAGACTGCAAAGAAAAGCTGAAATTCAACTGCTTTTCATCTTTCCTCTTTTTGTTTTGTTTAGAACATGAATTAATCAGGCAACATCCTCAGAGTTTCTCAGAAGGCTAGCTTAAAGCAGAAGGATACGTCTCAGCATGGGAGGTCCCAGTTTTACCCCATGTCATGGTCTCCTATTATAAGGTAAGCTGATTTTGGGGGTGGGGGGCCCAAGAAAAAAAATAGAGTGGCAGGAAAGATTCTTCCAGCCCTTCCTGAGATGCTGGGTGTTGTCGAAACATTCTGGAATGTTCCTAGTGCTCAAGCCAAGAGCGACGCTCTCCCAGACAGACTGGACAGTCTGGGTTGGGGATGGCAGCAGAGGCATGGAGGACCCTAACGGAGCTTCCGAGGCAAGGGCTCTCTTGGGTTTGTAAACAGCCTTCACCCCCAGAGAAGCGACTCCTGGCCTAGTGACGTCGGCACAGTTGTGATGTGTTTCAGCATAGTGTGGGCCCAGTGGGTGCTGGTGGCTGTCCAAATGTTGATTTCAACTCACAATGACCTCAGGTATTAGGAAACAAATGTAGCCAGCCTTGTACCATCTTCTTGATCCTTAGTATACCTGAACGCATCTCGTGGCTGTGAGGTCAACCTGGTGTGTCTTGGAGGGCTCCCCACATTTTGCTGGCCCTCTCCTTTGCCGAGCATGCTGGCCTGTAAGTATTCAGTCTCGTCAGTCACACTCAAATGTAAAGAGCATTGTGGCTGCATCTCTCACACTGATTTGGTCTGTCATTCCTCCGTATGAGCAACATTCTTCATGAACACTACTGCCCAAATAGATCCTATCCTCTGACCTCCCTTGTCATTGTCTGGCTTTCCCATGCACAAGAGGCCTTCAAAAAGACCATGGCTTGAGGCCAGCGGAAGCTGGAGTACTTGTTTACTCAACTTGACCTGTAGTTCCCAATATGTTTGATGAACGTTGGGCCCCAGCCAGGTGTGAGACCTGGCCCAGGTAACGGCCAGAGCTGGCTGGAACCAGGCACTGACCCCTCCCTCCCACATGTGCTGGCATTCCTTCCTGGGATCAGGAATTGGACATCCTGGGACTTAGTGGAATAGTCTAACTTCACTGGAAAACACAGAGACTTCTTCTCCAAACGGCCTTGCTCTGCCGTGCCGCTGGTCACTTTGAGTCCATCAGGATGGGAGAGCCACTCACTGGCATACACAGTGCTTCTGCCTACCTGAGATGGCATCCCCAGGTGTGAAGAGGGTGCCCTCAGGCAAGGGTCTAGCTCAACAGGGTGTTGGAGGGAAAGGCTCTGATGGAGGAAATGGAGGCCCTCCCCCGTGGGCCCTGCTCCCTGACACCCAGAGCAAGGACTCCCTCCCGAGCCCAGGACCAGGGGTGACACTGTCCGTGGAGTCTGCAGCAGCTGAGAGAGGGCAGCAGACTCCAGGGAGCTGAGTGCTTGAAGAGTGGGTGCTGGGAGGGCACCACTGTCTCCCAAGCTGCAGTCTGAAAACAGGGGAAGTGCGCTAGCCCTGGTTTCTGGGCAAGGGGGTCCGGGGTATGCCCCAGCCTCAGGCAGTTGCTACTGTGGGAACACAAGTTACACACATCCATTCTTTTCTTCCAACTGGGCAGCAAGCATGGGGCCATCGCCCTGTACCTGTTGCCCCGAGCTGGTAGACATGGGCACCAAGGGTTCCCCTGGGGGTCACCTGCTCTCATGTGTCACTCCCCAACCTTGCCCCTCACCCTGTCTGGGGACCTGATTTGCCAGAGATCCTGTCCATTGGTAGCCCACATGCTTAGGTGCTCTGCTAATCCAAAGGTTAGCGGTTTGAAGCCATTGGATCCTCTATGGGGGCAAGGGCTCCTACGTGCCCATGCTCATGCTCAGTGCTCTCTCCCATCTTTCCTGTGACTTCTGATATTTGCTGTGCCCTGCCCTGACAGGGACCCCTTTCAGGGACCCACTGAGGTCCTGGGGATGAAGACGGGCAGCTGCTCAAAGGCCTTGCTCAGTCCCCTGGGCCATGACCCTGCCTCCTGGAGCAAGCGGGATGCTCCTAAGACTCGTGGCAGGCCTCCGCCCATCTCCTTCTGCTCCCAGGACCCTAGACCTGCAGGTGGGTGATGACCTGGGGAGCCAGAGTTGGATGGTGGTGGTGGAGGGACTATGACTCGTGGTTGAAGTATGACTGCCACACTGCTGAAGGCATACAGAGAACACATCTCCACAGCGCCTTCTGAGCAGTTCCCCAAAGTCCCTATGACCCCTGGATCCACAGCCCCTTTTGGGGCCCTCCCTGAAAAAGACTCCCTCCTGAGTCTTAGAATTTCACTGCTAGACCCCTGAAGTCAGGAACCTTGGGTGTTTTGTTGGGCTGCTAACCAAAAGACTTGCAGTTCAACACCTCCCCGACCCCCGCCCAACCGCTCTGCTGGAGCAAGATGAGCCAGTCTGCTTACGGGGCACATCCACTTGACCTGGAGGACCAGGGGGAAATGACAGAACAGCTCTCAAGGGGTAAGAACTGGAGTTTACAGTTTGAACCCACCAGAGGTTCTGAGGGAGGGAAAGGAGGCATCTGCTTCGGAAAGATAGCTTTGGAAGCCCACAGGGGCAGTTCTGCTCTGTCCTGTAGGGTCGCTAAGAGTTGGAACTGATGCTAGGGGCTTAAAAATTTTTTTTGACAGGATTTTGCTTTTCTGTTTCGATAAAGGCAGATGAGGTTCTTGCTTTTGCTCAGGGGCTTCTGGCTGTCCTGTTGCTCACTCCTTTCAGCTCCAGGGCTGATCTTTCCCCTGAATCTCTTCCCAACCCCACCCCCCAAGAGACACCCACCCGCTCCCTGGCCGAAACCAGTTTTCCAGCTGTGTGCTCCTGAATTCTCCAACCTGGCATAGGGACTCTATGAATTCCCAGCCCACCCTCTGCAGCAAGACGGGCACCAGGCAAGTACAGCTGAGGTGGAGGGCAACGAGGTGAAGTTCCTCCAGGGTCCACGGTTAGCCTGGAGCCTCGCCCACCCAGGAGTTCTCAGGCCTCAAACCACCTCCACCGCCCATGACTCCTCTCCACGTCCTCCTCCTTCAGTGCAGACGGTAGGGTGATACGCAAGGAATATGCATGACATCGGCACAGGGCACCTCGCAGGAGTCAGTCTGTCTGTATGCTCCAGGATTGGCTGATGCCTTCTGGTCCTACACGACCCTGATGGAGGCCTCAGCACGACTCTGGGGTGGGCTGCTGCGGCGGCTGGCACGCAACCTTTTCCCCTCGGTGTAGTTTCCCTATTCTGGGCTCGAAGCACGTGGACCTTCCAATGAAGGTTGCAACCTCTCACAATCTCATGTAGTAAGTTACCATCTCCACCTGGAGCTCTCAGGAGGTGCGTGAGCCCTTCCCTCCACTTCACGTGGCTTGATGGGATGTCAGTGTCACAGCATGCCACGTTCTCAAACACGGCTCCACACTTGCGCTGGACAGCCGGGCCTTTAGTTGTTGAGCAGTCGGCCGCTGAGGCTCCTCATAGGAGTGTGAGCTGGTGGGAAGTGTCTCGGAGTCCAGGCAGCGTCGCAGCTTTCACGGTCATTTCAAGTGGCGTCTTTTGGGTCATAAGATAGGGATCCCATTTCTTTTTCTTTCACGTATACAGCAGGAGATGCAGCCAAGGAGGCTGGCTCTCCGGCTTTCTTAAAGCAGCCCTGTGCCTATCTGCAGTCCACACCCTTGGATCTGACTGCTTAGGGCGAGGACCAGGGATGCAGACACCTGGCATGTGCAGCTCTTCACTTGCACCCCCAGGAGGATGCCCCATCCACACCGACCCTTGCTCCTTCTGGTTTTACTGCTGGCCTCAGGGCTGTTATGGGTGGTAAAGCGGGTCTGGACACAAATTATTTGCAGGCTGAGCTAGTGGACAGGGATAGCCGACCTCCACCACAGGCAGGAAGGTCCTCCGAGTCCTTCCTGGGGTGTGAGGGGCCAGTGGTCTGTCTTACCTGATACACATCTGGTTTCATGTGATGAGGACACAAAATAGGCAGCCTCATGCCAAATTATAGACCCCCCTCCAATTTCTTACAAAGTTCCTTGAAATTCACATCCCTAAGTCAAATATTTTGGCCCACAAAGAGGCAGCTTGAGCCATGATCCTGAACATAATAGCCTGTGATCTCGACCATGGGCCAGCCTGGCTGAGATGAGCAGCTTCTGCTCTCCGAGATGATACCTAGCCCAGAGCACTCAGCACTTCCTGTGCCACCCACGATGGGACCCTGAATGGAGAACTGGGGCTGGCGGCTGAGTCAAGTCTCTCAATGGCAGAGCCCTTGCCAATGCCTGTCCCCTGCCACAATCCTCAGTGGCGATGCCAGAGCCACACGTCCTCAAGAGGGTTGGGATGAGCGGCTGAGCCCTACCACCCCTGTCTGGTGTTCTCGCCCCATCGAACCCAGATCTGAGAAGCAGAAGCCCACCTGCAGTCCCTGCAGCATGCTGGCCAGCCTCCCTCTCTGGTCTCCCTCGGGGCTAGGACAGAGTGGACAGGAAGCACAAGGGCAGTGTCATACCAAGTGGTCACTTAACTTTCCAGATGAGCCATCAGTGACTCTCAAATGTGTGGGGCCAGGGCCAGCCTTACAGCCCGAGCCTCTAGACCAGTAGGTTGGCCCGACACAGGGTCCCCAGCTGTCCCCCACCACCCTGCCCCTAGTCTCACTCACCCCAGGCCCACTGCCCCAGGCCTTATATTCATGAGCAAACAACCAGAATCATGTCTGACAAAAGACAGACTCCAAAAATATATGTAAATAAATAGAAGCCTTAAACATTCTTACATGGATCTTAAAGAACAGAGTACATGTTAAAAACTTCAGTAATTTATATCAATTTTGAAGCGGTACTTTATATACAATGGGGAGGGGAAAAAAAAAACCACATGCATAGTCCAAATACAATGTTGAAAACAGCATTTTCATAACAAAAAAACCCCCGAACACTAAGTGTTAATAGCATGTACATGGATTCACGAAGGACCACCTCCGTCTGCCGCACACGGTTTATTAACAATCTGCTATAGGAAATGAGTTGGTACGTTATCATTCTATACAGTGATTGAATCTTCTTGAATTTCCTTATTTATAAGTCATTATAGCGCTTGCATGATTTACACTAGAATTGCTTTTCCTCATTTCAAGTTTCACAAAGAAGAAAGAAAAGAAGGCTTCTTCCCTAGGAACATTAGCATGGTCTAAGAGAGTGATCAACCCTATTTTTTGTCTAAAACCAGTTTTATCAGAGAAACAAAGCAACAATTTCTACATCTGCAAGACAAGAGTTTGGCTTCGGCCGGTATGTATAGATAAGATGTGTGTGTGGGTGTGTGTACACACGCACGGGTTGTGCGCACGCTGGAGCCCATCCCTACCGTCCAGGGTAATACTTGGAGAGCGCCCACAGAGTTCACTATAGAAAAAGGAGAAAAGAACAAAGGAGAAAACAAAAAGATCTTCCCGTAACATCAGAAAGTCATCGGGATACATTATAAGCTTTTGCATTATTTCAGGAAATCAGTTTCTGAATATTATTTTTTTTCTTCTTGCTTTTAAACATACATGTTTAAAGTCTTGAAAATACAAATAAAAAATATGAATATAATGAACTTGTTTTTCCCCCTTTAAAAAAGGCATGAGTCACCTGCCATGACAAAAGAGAAAAAAAAGAATCCAAACCAACCCCACCCCCTAAACAAAAACAAAGCGAAAACAAAAACAAAACAAACAGGAAAAAAAACCCCAAAAAAACAAAACAGAGAGAGAGAGAGAGAGAGAGAGAGAGAGAGAGAGAGACCAGATATTTAAATCAACTGGTTTTTAACAAAAAAATATATTCTTTGTATTGTTTCTGGGGCTGGAAGGGGCAGTTCCATCTAGGGGAAAAGCACCTAGATGCCTGGGTCAGTACAAAAGGGCCGAGAACAGGAGGGGAGACTGGGCACCACCGCCCGCTGCTACAAACCCTCCACAAACTTCTCCAGTGTGTCCCCCGTGGTGTCCCCGACCAGGGACAGCTCACTGGACAGTGCCTTCCGGGTGGGGGTGTTCAGCTGGGGGAGCATTGCACTCTGTTCGGGGTTCCCCATGTGCCCCTGATCCATGGAGCTGGCCATGGTGACGGCGAGTCCGGGGTGGGGGGAGCCAGTCTGGGGAGACACGTGGTGAGGCGAAGGCTGGGGTTGTATCCGTGGGGACGGGCTGGAATGTGGTGGCTGGGACTGAGGCCGTGGCGATTGGACGGGGGCCGGAGAGCGCACCTGGCTACTGAGGGATGTGGCCATCTGCTGGCCGGGGAGGTGGGAGGCCGGTGGCTGTCCTGAGAGCGCGTGCTGCTGGGGGCTCATGGGACTCGGTTGGCCCGGGGAGCCCATCTGTTGCTTTAGCTGCTGCTGCTGCAGAAGCCGCTGCTGCAGGGCCTGCTGAATGCTGGCGGTGCTGTCGGTGCCCAGCCCAGGTTGCCCCAGCTGCCCCAGCTGAGCTGCCATCTGGCCCATGGAGCTGCCCTGCATGGGGAGGTGCTGTGGCATCCGCTGTGGCGGCATGGCTGGGGGGTAGCCGCCAGGTCCTTGCGGCTGCTGGAACTGGCTGTGCCCGGCCATGCCCCCAGCTCCCTGCTGCTGCTGCTGCTGCTGTTGCTGCTGCTGCTGTAGCAGCTGTCTCCTCAGCATCTCTCTGTACTGCGGATTCATGCTCGCCATATTGGGGTTGTGCCCCGGGTTCATGATGCTCAGCGTCTGGCCCTGGGGGTTCAGGGCCCCCATGGCCTGCTGCGGTGGTGGCACGCCAGGCCGGGGCACACTGGCCTGCATGGCGTTCAGGTTCTGCAAGCCAGGCTGTGCATGCATGCCGGGCTGGGGCTGCATGCCAGGCTGGTTGGCCACATACTTGGCCGTGCGCTGCTTGATGAAGGCGGCCATAAGCTGCGGGTTGGACTTGAGGATGTTCAGCACCTGCTGCTGCTGCTGAGGGGAACTGGGTGACTTCAGGGTCCGCAGCAGGTCCTGCAGGGCGCTGGGTGAGATGCTCCGCGGCGGCTGCACATTGGGCATCCGTGGCCCGGCCACAGCCACGGCCGACTGGGCCGACATGGACATCACTGGCCTTGGCATGCCTGCCATCGGCTGCTGGGGGGGCAGCGGGCCCTGCTGCCACTGGCCCGGCGGCATGGTGGGCAGGACAGGCCCGCTGACCTGGCTGGGACGAGGCACAGTCAAGCCCACAGGGCCCATCTGGTTCACAGGGGTCACCAAGCCCGTGCGGCCTGGGGGCATGCCGTTGTTGATGTTGACACGGTACAGGTGCTGCTGCTGCTGGGCCTCGCGCTCGATCTGCCGAGCAGCCTCCACTGCTGCAGGTGGGGGTTGGGCAGGCGGTGGTGGGGCCGGCACCTGGGCGGTGGGCTTGCCCGTGGACACCGTGGTGGGGGGCTGAGTCCGGGCCACACTGGGGAAGCCAGCCGGGGACATGCTCACGGGCGAGGGCTGTGGCGTCTGGGGCGTGCTGGGCTGCTGTGTGGGGGTGCCAGGTGGCGCTGAGGTAGGGGAGGGCAGGCTCTGCTGAGGCACGTTGCGGGTGTTCATGGTGGCCATGCGCCGGCGCATGAGCTGGGCCTGCTGCAGGCGGTGCTGGATCTGCTGCTGGCGGAGCTTGTGTTTGATGTTGAGGCAGAAGGGCACAGGGCATTTGTTCTCTTGGCAGTGTTTGGCGTGGTAGCAGCAGAGGGCGATGAGCTGCTTGCAGACGGGGCAGCCGCCGTTGGTCTTGCGCTTGCAGCCCTTGGTGTGCTGCACCACCCGCTTCATCTTCTGGCAGGACGGCAGAGAGCAGTTGGCGTTGCGACACTGGCAGGCGTGCACCAGTGACTGGATGCAGCGCTGGATGCTCAGGCGCCGCGACTCCTGGGGGCTCCGGGACTGCGGCTCGCCCTGGCTGCTGCCCTCGTCATCCAGGCCCAGCCCCCACTTGACCATCTTGTGGTTGTGGCTCTTGGTGTTGTAACAGTTGATGCACAGGTCGTAGTCCTTCAGAGAGAAGCAGAGACACGTTAGCCTAGGCGTGAGCCCTAAAACGCCACTCCACTGCCCAGGCCCCAAATCACACCCAGAGGACAAGCACATCTGCTCCCACTCCTGCACTTAGAGACCACCTCTTGGTCTTCTCCCCTGAACCCTCTGCCCCCACTCCCACTGTGAGGGTGCCTGTGCTTCCTGGGGGACCCACCACTTCTCACAGGCTGTGTTGGAGCCAGTGGACGAGTGGGGTGAGGGGTGAGGGCAGGCAGACAGAGTCTGCCTAAGGCTCCCGAGACCAGAGCCACAGACTTTGCACTGTGCACTCATCCCCCACAAGCCCACAATCTGCTCTCAGTGTCACAAAGTGCAACACCCCCCACGCCACGCCACGCCACCCCACCCTGCAGGGCCACAGGGCAAGGCAGCAACAGCACTCTCCCAGAAGGGGCACTGTGGCTGGGGTGGAAGCACTGGAGATCCCTCTCTGGGAGCCCATTTAAGCACCGCTCGCTTAGAGCTTAGAACCGAAAGACCAAGATCCTGGATTGACGGCCTGGAGGCTCAGGGCCAGAAAAGGGAGGGCCCAGCACAGGCACCAGAGACACTGCTACCGTGTGGGAGGCAGTTAAAGGTGTCGCAGAGGGAGATGAGGGCAGTAGGGCGAAGTTCCCCTTATGCATAGTCGACTGGGCCTTGGGCCTCTGCAGAGGGGATGGTGCAGCAGCAGGGGTGTGAGGACTGGTGTGGACAGCAGAAGGGGCTCGAGACCACCGAGTGGTCCAGGTCACCCAGTGTGACGACCCTCTCCCAGACCCTGTGGCCTGGACACCCACCTCGCAGACGGTGCAATGCCAGCGTGTCTCCACGTGGTGCTTGCACTCGTTGCAGGTGTAGACGAAGCGGTCCTGGCCCTGGGTGTGCAGTTCCACCAGCATGCACAGAGTGGACCACTGTGAGCGGCGTAGCGAGGAAAACTCCCAGTGTTTGTCCCGGGCCAGCGTCAGGAAGGCATCCCGGCCGTCCATGAGGTCGCAACTGAGCAGGGGGTCGGGGTCCACGATGGGGGGCAGGGTGTTGATGACAGGCCCAGCGTGGAGGTGAATCACAAAGAAGACCTGCAGGCAGAGTGAGACATGGTGTCAGTGCTGGCAGCTCTGTGGAGGTGCCAAGCCAACCTCTGCTCATGGGGGCTCTTGTGACCAGGATGGAGAGATGCCAGTGGGGGGTGGGGGTGGGTGCCCAGCACTGCTCCTACCTCCTTGTGCTTCTCCATGGTGGCGTAGAGCTTCTGGGACAGGTCGTTGGACACGTTGGGGACACTGGGCTTCTTCTTGTTGGCCCGGCTGATGCTGCTCTTATTCTTGTTGGTCTTCTTGTTGTTCTTTTTCTTGGCATTCTTGCTGTCGCCCTGGCTGCCCTGCAACAACAAAGAGCACTGTCAGATGGGCCCAGACTCCTCTCTGAGCACCAGGACCGCTCAGCTCCCAGGCCAGGGGGCCCAGGGAGGCAGCCCCAGGCAGATTACCCTGGCCAGCTCCCACCATGGAAGAGACAGTGAGCGCATGGTTAGAGAGGCGCTCCCTGCGGACAGTCCCAGCACAGTCTGGCGTCCAGGGCAGCCCAGCCCCTCACGACTGTGACATGTGGGATGCGCCAGCTTCTGGGAGGTGGTTCCCACAGAACCCCAGCATCCAGGGACTCAAAGGCAGGGAGAGGCCCCCTGAGGTCATCATAATCATGACCTCTGCCCCTTCCTTTACGCTGGGGGTTATTAAAAGTAAAACTGAGACAAAAAAGCAGTTGCACAGTTGGTTTGCGCTCCTGGGCTGGCGGCCCCTCACCGTGGGAATGGTTCTTCAGGGACCTCACCCCGCTCCCTGAACTCTCAGCGAGACATCGGGTGAACCCCAAACAAGGCACAGGCCCCACAACAAAGCCAGTCTGAGAACCTGCTAGAGCCAGCAAGGGGCTGGCAGGCCAGGCCATGTTGGCAACAGAGGACATGAGGGAGTGTGGGCTTCGCGCAGTGACAGTGTCAGCTGACCCACTGTTAACAACAGGTCAGTCTGAGCAACAGGAAGGGCCTCGAGGGTGGGTGGTGCGGACTTCTGAAAAGCTTCTCGACTGTTCAGCAAATGTCTCACAATTGCTCGAAAACAGCAGGATTACTTTAAAAAGAAGCAACTGCCATCTTTGGACGAAGTTTAGAAAGCACTGCCAAATGATCGGAAAAATGAGACTCAGATTTCGCCACACCAAGGAATGACCTGCAGCGTCTTCTTCCCAGATAGTCAGCCCGGGTGGCCACCTGAGTCCACACTCACCCCCACCGGGAGGCAAGTGCACGCCATGGCTGTGACCCTCTTGACCAGCCAGGAAGAGCAGTGCATGATGGCCACCATGCCATTCGCGCTCAGGGCGGCATACCAGAGGGTGCCCCCTTCTCTGCCGCCAGACCTCTACCCAGACCCAGTCTTGGGGCTCCTAACACAGCTCCACGCGCCCGCTGCACAGGCCGTTCTGGCTCAACTCAACACTGGGGTTGGCCCGCCCCCAGGGTCAGCTCACTTGTCAAGGAAAGAGCACCTCCTCGGGCACCAGTCACCAGGTATGATGAGGATCTGCCGACACAGAGCAGACATGCCTCCTGGGGAAGGACAATCACAGTCCCAGAATCCTCCTCAGGCACCCATGAGGCACCGGCTTCCTGTTGTGGCACGTGGTGTGGAGGTGCCCAGAACCCAGCCACATCCTCAGGTTCTGTGAACGCGCGCTCGAGCATGTCCTCCCTCCCTCTGCTGTCCCAGCTTAGTGATGCTCAGGGCCTAAGGATGGAGTGCCTCCACCCATATCCCCCGTCACAGCTGCCAGGGCTCACCCCCCAGTGCTGCACACAAAACACCCCAGGGGCCTCCCTGCTGATACCATCACTACAATGTCTCGTCTGGCAGCAGCCCCCACCCATTGCAGGCATCTCGCGGTGCAAGTGGCTTGCTCTGTCACAGAAGTCGACCTGACTCACAGTGGTCCTACAGGGGCAAGGGGGCATTCACCTTGGGGTCTCCTTCAAGCTTGACAGACGGACCAACTGTAGGCCTGACCACAGGGGTCTTACCTCAGGGGTCTCGCTGGCCGCTGTGCTCTCCTCCTTCTTCCTTTCCTCTTCCTCTTGCTCCAGCTCCTTGATGCTTTCTTCCAAGACGTTGGGCCAGAAGTCCCCTTCAAAGTAGGGCAGCTCCTTGGCGCTCGTGAGCCTGTCCTCTGTCGCTTGTTTGAAAATGTCCTGATGGAAACAAAGCACAGTGGTGAGATGGCAGGGACTGCAAACATCCTGGAAGGTGCCTGCCTGCTGGGGTTACAGCAGGACTCTCTCAGGGGCTCCCAGAGCTGGAGCACAGGGGAGCACCATAGGGGCATGGCGGATGGCTCTGCCTTCTTATCGGAGGCTTTTGTTTGCTTGTGATCCCAAGCATACAATAATTAGATGGCACCTGAGGGCTACAGGCAGAGGCACAAGTGTACAGGGCCCCAGATGGGGGCAGCTCTCCCGCCGCGAGCCCTGCTACCTTGTAGTCGTGAATAATGCGCTCCGCAAAGGCCTTGTCCAGCATCTTCTTGTACCATTCCTGCAGGCGTTTTGGCTTCGGGATTTTCTGATCCGGGGGGTGGCAATGGAAGATGTAGTCATCTCCTTCGCTTGGGGGACAGGCCCAGATGTGGCCAGTCACATACCTGCAGGACACACACACAGTTCAGGTGGACATGCTCAGTGACAATGGGAGCTGCCCTTGAAGCGTGACAGCCACAGAGCCCAAGGCATCCCCACATCAGGGAGGCCAGCCCCTCCTCCCCCTCCCCCGCACTTATCACTAGGGGCTTAGGGAAGGTGATGGTGAGATGGAATTCTGTCTGTTTAGGCTGCATCTACCGACATGTCCGCCAGGGCGCCATGTCTGTCAGGGCGACATGTCCGTCAGGGCGCTATGTCCGTCAGGGCGACATGTCCGCCAGGGCGCCATGTCCGTCAGGGCGACCTGTCCGTCAGGGCGACCTGTCCGTCAGGGCGACCTGTCCGTCAGGGCGCTATGTCCGTCAGGGCGACCTGTCCGTCAGGGCGCTATGTCCGTCAGGGCGACATGTCTGTCAGCTCATTCCAACTTTCTCAAACCTGGGACAGGAAGAGAAGAGATCTAGCAACAGGAACAAAGGACTTCAGAGAGATCAGCCATGGCGCTCCCCCTCCCGTAGCAGGACTCCGCTTCACAGCCGGCCACCCAGAAGGGCACATGTCTAAGGACCCTGACAGCTGATCCCCTCAGTAGGGCTCACAGGTGCTGCATTTATACACCCAGAGCTGGTGGGTTTAATGACACAAATAAAATACACCTCCAAAAAGATAAACACAAAACCAAAGGGCCTCCAAGGGAAAAGAATTCAGAGAGACCAGGCTGGAGCTTTGGACTCAGTGAGCTCTGAGAGGGTTCTGGAACCTTCTGGAATGCTCTAAGGAATGGGCGTCATGCTGGATGCAGCCCTTGGGCTGCAGAGCATACTCACCCCAGCTTCTTCACGTATTCGAGGTACCCGATGAGGATCTCATGGTAGACGGCGGTGCGGAGGCAGCGGGGTCGGAAGAAGTGGATACTATCCAAGTAGGATATGTACACCCGCCTGGGATGACGAGAGAAGAGCAGTCACACAAACCCAGAACTGTCAGCTGGTGGGGCTGACCCTCAGTGAGCCCACAGGACAGAGAACTGCCCCCCAGGCTGCCAAGGCCAGCAACTTTACAGAAGTCATCGGCCTCATCTCTCTCCTTAGGAATGGCTGGTGGGCTCCCACCACTAATCACGTTTGGCAGCTGAACGCTGAAACTGCTATACCACCAGGGCTCATTAGCCAAACACATACAGCCCAAACAAGCTCCAGGGATTTTTTTTTTGGTGGCATTTATGTGGGCACCAAACTGGGCACGCTGTGCTCCCATCAGCCAGTGCAGCTGCCCGCTGCTTTTGCAGTGGGGATCCAAGCCCTCATTACCAAGCAGTGGGGTCAGCACTGCCAAACCAAGCGAGCAGCCCTCTTGAATGCTCCTCCTCCCCTCCTCTGGTACTTGCAGGAACAGAAGGGAATGTGTAGGGTGCACGTGGCCTTCACAGTGGCCTGGCTCCTTGAGTGTCCCACCCCATCCCCCAGACCCCACTCTCCCTTGGGCTTACTGTCCTCAGACAGATGGGACAGGAGCTGGACCCTGGCACAAAACAGCCCTGTGGGCTGGTGGGTAACTGAGGCCCAGAGCACCGAGAATCACCACTTCCTGGCCTCAATCCTCATTGTTCGCTTCCCCGACCCACCAGGCTAGTGCACCCCACCCAGCGGGGGCAGCGGGCTACCTTGTGTTTGGTGGAGGGCAGTCGGAGCCGTACTCCTGGACATGCATCCCAAAGAAGCACACGTCCACCCCGTCAATCTCCTCAAAGGCAAAGAGTGCTTTGGTTCGGTACGGGAAAGACTCAGACATCTCCCCAGAGTCCACAAACCTGCAACACAAGCACAGTGAGGCCTTCGTGTGGCTGCTGGTGTGGTGCTGACCCACCCCAGCCGCCCTCCTAAAGCAGGTGGACTCCAGGAAAGCTAGGGGCTGGGCCGCCCTCCATCTGGTCTGCTGTCCCTTCACCGCCTCCCAGAATGGGGAGGCAATGCTGGGGGGCGCCTTGAGTGGAGAGCTCCACTGTCGCCTCCAGCACACTGGCACACACACCGTGACTTCATGCCCGGCTTGACCTCCACAGTCTTGTCGGAGCTCGCCACCACTCTGACGAAAACCTCCCCCGCTTCGGGGTGGTTCTGCCGCCGCAGGAACTTGTTCACACGGTCTTCCAGGTGGTTCCCCAAGCGAGTTGTCTGCAGCCCTACAAGCAAGATGGGCCGTGAAGGGTGGCTGAGACCACCCATGGCCGAGAGATGCTCCAAGGACACCCTGTCCCTCCCTGCCTTTGTACTGGTGTGAACGCCCACCCACAGGGCATGTGACTCCCAATCGCATCTCAGGGCCAACACCTGCTCCCCTACCAATTTTCCACCCCACCTCGGCTGCTCACGGGGGCAGGACAGAGCCAGCTGGTGCTTATGGCGGGCACGGG